CTCTACTATACACTTCCCCATCCCCTTCACTACCTGATATCACCTACTACTCTGCTTCGCTACTCTGCTTGGCTACTCTGCTCACCTGCCCTTACTACCCTCACCACTTCCACTTGCCTGCCCTCCCCTACAGACACACATCCTACTACTCTCTGCGACCTGCTAAACTTCGTACTATATTTCGCCTACACTTGGCCTACTTCGCCTACTTCGCCTACTTGGCCTGCTTGGCTAGTATGCTGCTATCCCCTGCCTCCCCGGGCTTTCCGAAGGAATTTTTAGCTTCGCTTTTTCGCTTTCCATTTCGCGACAGCTATCGCCGCGTCGGGGTTCGACCAAATCGATCCCCTTATCGTAGCCACCCCGGGAGCCCTTTCCCGCCAGCCCCTATATATTTGCCGCCCGCGAGCAGCCGCAAACTATGTCCACCAAGAGCTCCCTCCGCAAGGACGTCGTCATCGACGAGAACCACGCCGACGTCGCGCTGCAGTACGCCCGCCGCCTGCCTGCCGTCGACGACGCCACCGACGCCGAGTACGCCGCGCTGCGCCGCAAGACCGACCTCATGATCCTCCCGCTCATCTCCCTCATCTACGGCGTCCAGTACATGGACAAGAGCACCACGTCCTTCGCCGCCATCATGGGCCTGCGCGCCGACCTGCACATGGCCGGCCAGCAGTACTCGTGGACCACGACCGCGTTCTACCTCGCGTTTCTCGCGGCCGTGTTCCCGCTGTCGCGCTGTCTGCAGCGGTTCCCGCTGGTCAAGACGACCGCCGCGTGCGTCATTCTGTGGGGCGTGGTGCTGGCGTGCCACGCCGCGTGCTCGAACTACGCGGGCTTCCTCGTGTGCCGCGTGCTGCTCGGCGCCCTCGAGTCCGCCGTGACCCCCGGCTTCGTGCTGCTGTCCGCCAAGTGGTACCGCCAGGAGGAGTCCTTTCTGCGCACGGTGGTGTACTACTCGAACAACGGGTTCGGCACGATCCTGGGCTGCGCCATCGCGTACGGCTGCTACGTGCACGCCGCCGCGTACTCGATCGCGGCCTGGAAGGTGCTGTTCGTCGTGACCGGCGCCGTCACCGTCGTGCTGGGCGCGCTGCTGCTCGTGCACGTCCCGGACAACCCGCCGGACGCGTGGTTCCTGAGCGCGCGCGAGCGCGTGCTCGTGTTCCAGCGCGTCAAGGACAGCAGGCAGGGCTACGGCAGCCCCGAGTGGAAGTGGTACCAGTTCCGCGAGTCGCTCGCGGACCCGCGCACGTGGCTCGGGTTCCTGTACGCGTTCTCGTCCAACATCCCCAACGGCGGGCTCGGCTCGTTCATGTCGATCCTGCTGTCGGACTCGCTGCAGTACGGCGACAAGAAGAGCCTGCTGATGCGCATGCCCGGCGGCGCCGTCGAGACCGTCGGCCTCGTCGCGTTCGCGCTGCTTGTCGGGCGGTTCCCGTACCGCATCGCCATCTCGGCGCTCGTCACCGTCGTCGTCATCGCCGGCTCGTGCATGCTCGCGTTCGCCACCAACACCCGCGCGCAGCTCGCCGGGCTGTACCTGTACTCGCTGTCGCCGATCGGCATGATCTGCTTCCTGTCGCTGTTCGGGTCCAACACGCTGGGCTACTCCAAGAAGGTCACCTCGCAGGCCATCCTGCTGATCGGCTACTGCGTGGGCAACCTCGTCGGCCCGCAGACGTTCCTCAGCACAGAGGCCCCGGGGTACCACTCGGCGAAGATCGCCATCGTCGTGTGCTACGTGTTCTCGCTGTTCTGCCTGTTTGCGCTGCTCGCGGTCAACTACCTCGACAACAAGCGCAGAGACAGGCTCGAGAGCAGCAGCCCGCCGCCGGCCGTCGAGAACATCGAGTTCTCCGACCTCACCGACTACGAGATGCCCGGCTTCAGGTACCTGTACTAGGGCGCCGTCTGACGGTTGCTCCAGGGTCCTGCACAGCCCGCTTCGAGAAACTTCTGACTAACCTTAAATAAAATCTTACTAATGCTTAGTAAGCGGCGCCACCCGTCAAGCTTGCTCCTCGCGAAAGGCTGTAGCTTTGACACCAGCGCACAGCGGCCACACACGCTGCTGTGCGGCCAGCGCAGGCTGCTCCGAGGCGCCGTCCCGCTGGCGAGGCGGCGGCCCTCGCTGACACCCGCTGTCGAGGGCCGCAGCTGCGCATGCCAGATTAATAATCACACCTGCCAAGGGCCTCGGCCAGCGATATATAAGCCCTCGCGCCGCCTCTCTGTGTGCCAACAGTCAGCATGTCGTTACCAAAGCAGCAGAAAGCGGTCGTCGTCGAGAAGTACGGATCGGGCCTCACCCTCAAGGAGGTCCCTGTGCCACAGGCCGGTCCCGG